CGTCCTTGCTGCCAGCCCCGGGTTCGCCTGGCACTGCGGGCCCGAGCTGTGACCTGGGCAGTCGTGGCCTGGGTCTGAGGGAGGAGGCGCGCCAGCAGGGCCCTGGGGCGTCCCACCTGGGGTCATTAAGCTCTGCCCTAATTGGAGGTAGTGTGTCTCCCAGGAGTTGCGTATTTTCCCCTCTTAAAAGCATTATTCGGGCGTGTGCAGCAATAGGTGAAGAATAGAGAACCATTAATACGTGTCTTCGCAATCAAAGATGAAGATGTACAGATTTTGGCATTGTGATTTGCATATATAACACGCGTAGAGGCTACAGTGGAGCTTGGTGACTTTTTTAAAGTTACTTAAAGAGGCCTTGCAAATATCTTATGCGTTGGTCTTGCATGGTAACACCGTCCCCTGAAAGAGAAAAACTATAAGGATTTTGTTCCTCTCTTTATAGGTTCTCATCTGTCGGAACTACCGCGGAGATGTGGACATGTCAGAGGTGGAGCATTTTATGCCCATCCTTATGGAAAAGGAAGAAGAGGGGACGCTTTCTCCTATTCTAGCACACGGAGGAGTTCGTTTTATGTGGATTAAACATAACAACCTATATCGTATCCTTTATGCAGCAAATAACTTGCATATGCTGATATGCCAAGTGCTGCTATATTATTTTCCTTGTTTGTGTCTAAATGCAAAGCTCAAGTGACACAAGGAGGCTCTAGTAAATAAAGCCCTTTTATGCTTTATGTAGCGTGCAGGAAAGTGTTTATATCAATTTTACTCTAATAAATTATTTCCTGAATGTTTGTCTTCATATCTTGTTAGACCAGAGGTACTGTTAATTAATTAATTCTTAGGGATTTTTGGCCAACTCTAATTGCCTAAAGGCTTTTAGAAATGCACTTAGTAAACGCTTTTTTTTTTTGAATGGTGGCTTTGAATGTATTTTCCTGAACATCCTTTATCAGTCGTTGCAACTTCTAAGAAAAATGCTTGTGTATCACTGGTGTTTTCATTTTTATATAAAGTAGTTCAGGTGAGTATGAAATTTCAAAAGCAACCTCCGTTTTCTTTTCAGTTCAGTCTAAATCTGATCTAAATAGAAGCGCATAGACCTTTCACATTTTTAAAGAACTCTATGGTAATAGCATTTTTACTTTATATTTGATTATTTTGTAGAACTATCTTCCTAACCACTAGTAATGGAATTGATATTTTGTAGCTGAGTAGGCAAAGGATGTGACACAAAGCTGTAAGTAGTTGCACAAGACCTGAGAACACAGAGGAGAATTGTGAACTTGATGCATGAGTAGTGGCGTATCGTATAGATTCTATGTTTGGTTCATCTGTACCTGGCATGAAAAATATTTTCTCCAGAATAAATATTTTTCATAATAGTTAGAGAGTTGCTTCTAGGATTCTCTAGCTCTCTTCTAATTGAGATGGGTTTCCTGAGGCTGATCTTCTGAACAGAATGCTGTTTGTGAATTATGGGGTTTGGTTTCGGGCATTTTAAAAATCATTTGAAATTCAAGAATACATTCTGAATGTGCTGTACTTCCTCAGTTCATGTCCTCCTTCTTCCCCTCCCTCCTGTCACTTTCTTTCAGGTTTTTTCTGAATATTTCAAGGAGTTGGAAGAAGAGAGCATTAGGGATAATTTTGTTATTATTTATGAGTTGTTAGATGAGCTTATGGATTTTGGTTATCCACAAACCACTGATAGTAAAATTTTACAAGAGTAAGTACCATTCTGTATCACTTACAGTGCCAAACTCCTTGGAAAGTTTTGAGCGTTCTTTCATACACAAACAAATGTTTTGGCTTGGTCTGGTTATCAAAAAAGTTAATTTTCATTTTTTCATGCCAATTACGTGACTGTAAAGGTACATCACTCAGGAAGGTCACAAACTTGAAACTGGAGCTCCACGTCCACCTGCCACTGTTACGAATGCTGTTTCATGGAGATCAGAAGGGATAAAATATAGGAAAAATGAAGTGTTCCTGGATGTTATAGAGTCTGTTAACCTTTTGGTGGGTACCTTTATCTTTTAATGAGAATTGTAGCAGCAAGCGTTGAAAAGAGATTATGGTCTGAAAACCTGCAAGGGTACAATAAAAAGTCAGACTGACTGTGGCTAGTGTCTGTGTTTCTCAAAACAATGTCAGTCACTGAGACTGAGTACCCATAAGAACATCCAGTAGACCAATAATGCTTTATTTGGCTATATTGCTAATTTCTGATAGGTTCTTCACCGAGAGAATTGTCAAGCACTGGAAGGGGCTGCCCAGGGAAGGGGTTGAGTCCCCATCCCTGGGGGGATTTAAAAGCCGGGCAGACGAGGTGCTTAGGGCCAGGGTTTAGTGGTGGGATGGCAGGGTCAGGGGAACAGTTGGGATAGATGATCTTAAAGGTCTCTTCCAACCTAAACGATTCTATGATTCCTTTCCTCCTCCATCTGTGCCCATCACCCCCCTGACATGATTCTGCTCTACTGGATTAGTTTCTCAGGAGAAAGACATCCAAGAAAACTTGGGACATGGGCATGGGGTGGGAGTATTGTTTGATGTCATGACGTGTCATGTCAGAGCAATCTTACCTTTCTTTTCTTTTTTTGTTTAGGTCAGTGCCAATGGAAATGTGTTACGGAGTGAGATAGTTGGATCCATCAAAATGCGAGTCTTTCTCTCGGGAATGCCGGAGCTGCGCCTTGGTTTAAATGACAAAGTTCTCTTTGATAATACAGGCCGTGAGTGTTTTGGTGGTATCTCGGTAATCGTGAAGGATGTTATCTGAAGTCTTAGGTTTTGGGATGCTTGAGATTCAGCTGAAAGGATTTGTTCTAAGATGATAGAAATACTCCCTTTATCAGTGTAGAAAACTGCATTAGGTCTTGCGTGACGATACCAAGCAAAGACAGAACACCATGGTAATACATGGTAACCAGCTAGGCTTCCTCATCTCTTTTTATTTTTTTTATCACTGGGACTTTTATAGTCCTAAAAACCTATAGCAAGCTAAAGAAAGTATTGGCTAAAATGTCAGCTGACAACTACCTTGCTATGTAACTAGCTGTGGTGGGACTTTGGACGTAATTTGTGTAGCACCTTGAAATGTATATTTTCTGCTAGGTGGCAAAAGTAAATCTGTAGAACTGGAAGATGTAAAGTTTCACCAGTGCGTTCGTCTCTCCCGCTTTGAAAATGACAGGACGATTTCTTTCATTCCGCCTGATGGAGAGTTTGAACTCATGTCTTACCGTCTTAATACCCACGTAAGTCTGGATGTTTGCATTTTATTGTATGATAATGTTTCAGATCGTAGGCAGAATTGCTACAAGGCTTTGCCTTGTAATTAAGGCTTAATTTCAAGGGCTTAAGGCTCTTTATTATTTTTTTTCTTAAAAGTATGGGCAAGCATAATAGTTTTCAAGTTAACTGTTAATACCAAAGCTTTGTGCTTGCTCTTTTTTGAGGAAGTAAGAATGAGTTGAGAAGTAACTTGGCAATAAGTTTCTGTACGTTCTACTACTATCGAAACTCTTTCTGAAATACCATTCCTGTGATGACTATTACTTTTAAGCTAACTACGTGATGAAATGTCAGTGTAGCAATTCATTGTGCTTGACAACAACAGTATTTATGTCATTTAATTTTATTAGAGTATGCTAGCCACAGTGATAAGGATAGCTTTCCTTTCAGAAAAGGAAAAATTGAATATTGAGAAGGTCTATAATATGCAATAGGAGACAACAAATGGAAAGTTTAGTCCTAATATTTTATTTTAAGGGCAGTAGTTTGAATTAATGTTACTTTTAGGGCTTGTCTTGGTTCAGTCCCTAGTGTGTTAAGTTATCAAACATTTTGGAATGCAAGTTTTTAGGGGTTAACCTGAGACATGCCTTTTTAAGCCTATAATTGTAGTAACACTTGCTCATTGGTATATCAGAGCTTGCTCATTTGTGTAATCTTTTTTTTTT